GAAAGCCATGAGGCCCGTCATGAGTTACCGCTGCCTTTCGTTTCAGCTGCGCCATAAGTGTTGAAAGAGTTTGACTGAGCGGATAAACAATTTGTTCCTGAGCCGCCACCGTCAGGGACGATGTCAGCTGAACTCCTTCCAACACACACTGCGCCAAATACACAATATGTTCTTGCTGTATCTTATCGAGTACGGTTACCGCAATTTTTGCCAGGCTGCACCAGCCATCTATAAATTGCACACCACCGGCATATGCGGCGAGACACTCGTTGGCCCGAACAAAGACACTGAGTCGCTCTCGAATTTCCTTCTGAGAAAGGGATCGTTTGTTGTTTAACTGACTTTCCTTCTGAAATGCTTCATAAAGCAAAGGGATCGAATACTGCGGGGTGCTATCATTAGCACGGAAGATGTAACCCTCAGCCCCGCCAGGAGCCACACAATTCGTTGGAAACAATGGGAGAGATTTTAAACAGAATGACGGCCACTGCGCAAAATCCACAGTCACACTCTGTTCATGGCCAGCAATGACACCTGGTGAAACATATTCCTCTGATTTCAATGACATCGACTGGGGTGAAACATGCAGCAGCAAAAAGAGGACTTCCACCAAACTGGAATTGGGCGTCGAATACAGAGAAACATGCAATTCTTCTGGCTTCTTTGTTCCGATGCTAAAGACATCAAGCGCCAACAGCTTCATGACAAATGCATATTTGTTCAGTACGAGCGGGGAGCATTGATCCGGGCGTAACGTTTGTAAAAAATAAAACATCTCGTCATTTCCACTTCGTCTCATTAGACGCTGAAGGCTAGGGGTGCTAAGAGACGGATTGGCGCGAAGAAGATACACGAGCTTTACATATTTCACAGCAATGTGTGGATATGCCACCTCAACTTCTCTACTGTTGGCTCCCACAATTACGGGTTCGAGGCAGTAGCCGGCCAACAACTCCTCTGAGGAACCATACAACGGATAGCCGCAGAGCCAAGAGGTGATGGAGGTCTGAGGGGCTCTTGCATTCTGGATAAGAAGATCTAAAATGAGGGATTTTGTTTCCACCTCGGCATGGGGCAGCATCAGGTGCACCTCATCGTGGTCCAAAACGGCAAGTGCAGGTGGGACGTGGATGATGGGACTGCTGACAGCTTCCAAACGCAGTGCCGTTACAAACGGCGTAATGACGGCCTCCAGAGCGTCTGGTCGACTAAACCAATGGCGTGCCGCCTGACTGAGAGTAGGCTGCGGAATCAACAAGAGAAGTTGAAGCGCCTTCCTGGCAAGAAGACTGTCAACACTGGCACTCAACGGAAGTAATTGACAGCGAGCTCCGTGTTGCTGCGGGTTCTGGCATCGAAGTAAAAGAGACTGTCTAGACCTTCCTCCTCCCTTCACTGTAATTGCCGTCTTTAACAAGATAAGGCATTGGCGCACCGCCGCACGTTGATGATTCAGCAATTCATTAGGGGCCGTTGAGGCTTCAGAAATAATTTGCAACGCTTCACCCAACACATCCGCAGGCGCTTTTGAACAGGCCATGACAACCGTAAAGGGAACCATGCTATTGCTTCCACTGTAGGCGAGTTGTAGAGACAACACGCGATTCAACGCCGCTGCGGCCAAAGCAGCCACAGTATAGCGTTCGTCTGCCGATGAAAAAAAACGACGCAGGACGCCTCGAAATATTTCTTCAGCAATAAAACGTATCACCACCGTGTACGTTGGTAGATTTTCCATCGCGGGCGCATAGTATTTAAACAAGGCAGTCATCAGACCCAGAAATCCAATGGTTATTCCGTAAGTTCCATGGTGGCATTCATACTGGCAGTGTCCTAGTAGTGAGCGTGCCTCAACGGTGATGGCAATGCTGTCATCATCGTTGCCATTTTCTCGCCGTTTAAAATCACTAGTATTACCTTGCTTCCATCTGGCACTTGAAGCAGCACCGGTCTCCGTAACAGGGCTAAGAAGATGATTTTCCTCCAAAAGAGTCCACACACGTGCTGCTTCCTCATGATTCGTGATCAATGAACCAATCAGAAAAAGCACCTTACCAAGCACGGACTGAGACAATCGTGGGGCATAGAGAAAATTAAGAGCTGTGTTGAGTGTGATAAGATGATGCACGTCATCACGAAGTAAAGGATGTGTTGCCATTTGGCGCAACAGCACAAAGACGCTAGCGACAAACGCTTGTTGTTTTTCTACAAGGTACTCTTGTGTAAACTGACGATGAAGTAATACAGTGGCCCTTGTGGGTTTCTTTAGCGCCGTCATGGAGCCGCCCATATCTAGCGAAAGTAACGATGACACACCTCCGCTCACCCCAGCGCACTCTTGTGCTTGCCCGATAAGCGAGGACCATTGCAGCTCCGTGCAGTCCACCTGCATTTCACTGAAGAGAGCCACAACACGCTCCGTATACTGCGGATTCCTCCCAATCATAGCCAATATGTCAAGAAAACTCGTCAGAATCTTGAGCGTGTATGATTCCCACATCACATTTGGTCGTTGGGTCTGGAACACAGAGCGCATGTGCGTCACACAATTTTTAAATATAAAAAATGTCACGGCACAATCGGAATCCATGTCAGGAGTTAACACATCGGATGGAAGATTTTCAAGACACACAGTGAGGGCCTGTAGGATATGCGCCATTTCAGAGAAGAAGGGTTCCCCTTGATCCCGTACCGCCCTCTCGACGCTGTATTGCTGCAACCCACCGCCTCCTGCCACGGCTGAAAACGTCGATTTTTTGGCCCCAGCCTCATCGCTTTGAAGTGCATCTGTGCCGGCCTGCAATGACTCCAGATATCGAACGCAAGAACGTACATCATTATCGGCCACATGTTTTATTGCAAGAAGCATTTCATCAAACATGTAAGCAATAATGTCGTATGGAATAATGTAGATGTTTTCAGGCGGAATGACCAGTAAATTCTGCATTGGGATTAATCGAATAAAATGCTTCATGACTTTGCCACGGTTCAGGGTATGTGAGGATTTACAGCGATCGCCCAAAAACGCCTCTACTGCCTTGTCAAGACCACGCTCATCGCCCTTTCCACACAAGAATACACCGACCCCAAGCAAAATTATACTGAGATACCCTTCTACGATGGTTATCCACTGGATGTACTGCCTACGACCGGCAGTTCCCAGCGCGTCATGTGTGGAAGGTTGCCTTGTCTGCCCTGCCTTACGGTACCCAGCAGCAGAAAATGACAAGGAGCCCGGCATCTGTAAATGCTCAAACTTGGAGCGTAGATTCCTCAGCCACTCCTCCACCTCCGTGGCGATGTTGGAACGAAACAAGACATTTTCCTTAAATTGCCCAGAGCTGTTGCAAAGATGTTTCCACGCGGTCATACTATTCAAAAGTGACACCGTCAAAAGCCATGCCACAGCGGAAATACTTGCTGTCGAAGGGTGTTGGCGGAAAGTTTCCATGCTTACTACAGCACTGTGGATGTGTCGTCGCACTTCCTCAATGAGAAGTTCCAAAAGCCCACAAAGTTCTTTGATGAATGATTCCTGCATTTGAAAATGGCGCGTGAGCAGCAATAAACACTGAGCGGTGAGTAAAATGGGATTTGACTTGCCGTGCGCGGAGAACACGGAAGAAATTGAGCTGTGGCCTGACGTGAGGAGGGACGCCGAGGAAATTTCTGCCTTAATAAATTGAATAATGTTTGTAGCTGCAATCGAGGCAACAATTGCCACTGTGTCGTTGACGCCAGTCAGCCTCTCAGCGTCCCCGCAAAGTAGAAGAAGACTGAGCAGGACACGAGCCCTTCCCACATGTTCGTTAACAAAATCAATGGAGCTGGTCTGCGTCACAGGAGAATCACCCACAGAGCCCAACAGCGCAAACGGTTGCTGCTGCTGCTGCTGCTGCTGCTGCTGCTGCGTGTAGCAGAAAACCCCCCAAAACTACTCGTTGCAGCGGCTCCACCAAAAAACGGAGTCGTCGCAGCAGTATTCGTGGCAGTCGCAGATGTTGCCTGGTTGACATTGCTCTGTTTAAACGACAGGGTTAAGTACGCCTTAATTTCCGCAATGACTGCTGCACTGAGACGCCCGTCACGGCATGCGGAGCCAATTTGTTGCAAAAGAGTCCCCGCGCTCATTTGACGTTAACTCCGCCCCACCCGCTTCTTCTCCTCGTGTTCTTTTCGTTCCGCCTCGTCACCACCCCCTTTCCCTCCGAGGTGTTGGCGGCGGTATGGCAAAAAAAGAAAAAAGAAAAGGACACCCGAACGGCAACTGCGTTGGTTTGTCTTATTCTGCCTTTTTTCCCCCTTTCTCCCCCTCCCTCTCTCTCTCTATATATATTTGTCTCCTCTTGGCTTTTGTTTCCTGGTCTCTTGTCGACCCGCACCGCTCTTCTCACTCCCCTTTATTCCACCCCCTTTTACGACGGATCAAAGTACCCTCGTTCGCTTTCTCTCTCCCGATTCTTCACACAGACGCACCCGTTCCTTCTGTCTTTGCGTACGTTTCTCTCCTTCCTTGCCGTCCCACTGTTCAGCGCTCCTTCCCCCACGGATGCATGCGCCGTGCGGCAACGGCGGCGGGTGAAAGTGGTGACAAACGCAAAAAATAAAAGGATGGAAAAAAAAACGATGATGTCGCAGGAGTTGAATAAAAAGGCAGCAAAGACACACACACACACACACAAAAAAAAACAGTCAGACAGACAGATACACGGAAAAATAAAACAGGAAATAAACGGGAGGAAGAAAACGCAACAAAAGGCATCTAATCATTTCTTCGTGCATCTAACAATAACCAGGCGGCAACTTCAGTAGCAAACGAAATGGCAGCTGGCGACGTGCAAACAACAAACAAAAGAGAAAACAGACACTAAGTGAGACCAAAAAAAAAGCAAAAGCATGAAATGAAGTTAACAACATGTATTTGTTTGTTGTTTGTATTTTCTCTTCACACACACACTCTCTCTCTCTTGGCGTACGGCCAGTTCTACTGTGACCCGCATTCATTCACGCTGCCTTCGCTTCCGTGAAAGTCGTGCAATCGTTTCTCTCAAATTATTTACAACGGCCTCTCTCTTTTTCAACTCCGCCTGCACCGCTGCAAGCTCCTCGCGCTCTTTGCTAAGCACCAGACGCGTGGCGTCCACATTCTCCATCTGTTTCAGTTTTCCCTCCTCTAACTGCATAGTTCTCCGTACACTCTCCACGCGCTCCTGTTGAATCACTCGCTGCCGCTGCTCATGCTCCTGCAATCGTTTGCCACATGTCTCCGCCTCCGCCAGTTTTTGTGCAAGGTGCTGCTGTAGCGCGGCGTTTTCCTCCTCGCTCTTCCTCACTAAATCTCGTTGTTCCGCAAGGACGCCATTAATAATGCGCTCCCGAACATCGTCTTCCAGCAGCTGCACTCTGCGGCGTTCCTCCTGCAATTGTCGCTCCTCACGTGCGCGTCGTTCCCGACGCTCGCGTCTCGCCATGGAAACAACACTAGTGAAATAGTAATGATGAAATCCGCTGTTCTGCTGCGGAACGGACTCGCCGTCGTAGCCCTCAAAGCAAATGGTGTTTGTATAGTAGTACTCCAGAGTGTTACGCTCCAAGTGGAGAGAAACAAGGGCCTGTTGCTCCAGTTTCTGCTGCAACAGTTCAAGCTGCGCCAGTGACTCCTCGTACGCCAACTCAAAGGGAGACTTTCTCCTTGTCGTCGTCGTCGTGGATGGTGCAGGCCACACCGACTGAGTTTTCTTCTTGAGTGATGTCATGGGACACCGCGTGACGTTTACGGGTCGTGCGGAAAGCGGAGGTTGCCGCGGTTGCTTGCTGGCCGTGGCGAATCGACTCCATGGCGCCCGCGGGGGAGGTCGCTGCTGCGACATGTAAGGCAAAAAAAAAAAAATCCGACGCCCGCACCTGCCCCAGTGTGTCGAAAACTGGCATGAGTGGTGGAACACCCAACAAAACCATAAAAACAAAAGATAAAAGAAAAAAAAACATGAAAGAACACAAAGACAAGTAATTCACAGAGGGAGAAAAAAATATATGCACAACGGCGACGCACAAGATGAAGGGTCTATTTCAGTTTCCGCACACTGTTCTCTTCCCACTAAGAAAAACAAACAAACAAACAACAAAAAAGCATTCTCGTTGAGCGAGCAAACCATCGCCTGCACTTCCGTGGATCACAACGCATGTCATGCAATTTCCTTGTCCGACGTTAACTCCTTGTCACTGTCAATGCGAATCACATTGTTCGGATTCCCCACAATGGAAAGCATGACCAGTCCAGCATACCGTCGAATCTCTGACGGCGAACACATTTGAACAAACTCACCCCAAGAAATGTGGTGGACGAACTCCGCCCAGCTGATGAGACCAAAGTCCGGGTGCGGCAGAACGCTTAGACTGTCTGACTGAACCCGCTGCTCCCGCATCATTTCAATGTATTCACAACGTTCACATGGCTCAATTTTCTTCTGCACAGCGCCACTGGCCTCATTTCCGTAAAACACCAAATCCTGCATCTGCCACTGCATCCTGGAAGGGTTGGCCAAGTCCAGGGTCCTCACAAAGCGTTGAACAGCAAAGATCCCATACTGACAAAGATCAGTGTCTTTCACACGGGCAAAAAACGCACTCCACGGTAGACGCAGTGCAGCTTCAATAATTTTGCTTTCATTTTCTGGTGCATGCTTAGTATGGAAGTGAATTGAAGTCTGGGACTCTGCGTGCGGTTCTGTTATTCCTCTTCCAAACTTACCGCCTCCATCATCGCCGGCCTCCAACATATCCTCATGAGTGTTACGGCTGTTCGATGCCACCCCTCCCATGATAGTAAGAGACTTCTCATCATCAGCAAAATGTGCTTCCGCTCGACGTCCAAGACGCAGCTTGGTAAGATCAATGTTGGTAACGATGGCTGACGTGAAGTATCCTTGCAGCAGATCCGTCACAAAGCCTCGCATCACGTCCAAACCAGCCACATGTATCACGTTTGACATTTGCTGTTGTAATTGATGCTTGTAAAAAGCCGAATACGAGGCTCCCAACAACCACATTGTGTCGTACACACCCCATTGCTCAATACGACGCCAGACAAAACGAGCATCTTGCACGGAACGAATAAATAGGCTCAGATAACCGAGTTGTTCCCACATGGGATCATTCTGTGCCCCAGGAGACCGATAAAGCGATATAGAGACCATAGTTTGCTCGATAAGCAGGTGATCCATAAAAACAATTTGTTGCTTCCAGACGTCTGTTGCACGTACCCTTTTTCCTTCCCCCACAATTCCTGATGCCAACAGGTGGCCATTCATGTGGGTTGGAGGGAGATTGACGGGCTTATTTCCTAGAACCACACGCATTTGTTCCAGGTATTTCATTGCCTGAAAAATGAACGAATCCTCAAGATGAATCTCAATGGAGCTGAGGTTGATGACAAACTCCTTAAAGTACACAATAGGGGTCCAGCGAAGAAGTTTCCGTGAGAAACGGAACGTGAATGACTTGTCATCCACCAGTTGCGCCACCACACGCTGCTTCGCGCACCGACGTTCGTCATCAATCTGGATCACAGAGACGGACGCAGAAAAGATTTGCTCATCACCCGGGCCCTCCGCCTCTTTTCCCTGAGAAAAAAAGAGTTTAACAGGTTTTACCGTCAATAGAATAAAGTCCTCATTCTCGTCCGAGAACAATGCGTGGATGCTATCCACCTTTACACGGAAGAAAAACTGAAAGTACGGCAGAGAACAGAAGGTGTCAATAGTGTTCTCTGTGGTGATACTAATGGCGTAGCTTGTGCGGCTCAACCCTCGTATCCGAACAAAGAGAGTGACTCCACCGGGGAGAAGTAATGCTTGCTGCTGCTGTTCACTGCGTTTTAATGCGGCTTGTGGGTCAAAGTTAATAAAGAGAGGTTTGCTTCGGGCATTCTTACCCTCAGCGACCCACAGCTCCATCACCGGTCGGTATTTCGAGTTCTCCCATGCAAAACCTTTTGTTGTTCGTGGGTACACAACAAGAAGCTGAGGCACATCTTGCTGTCTCAAGTTTATTGTGTAACTGGTGCGATTTTCCACAACAAGTGGCGGCCGGTAAGGCCTGGAAACCACAACGAACATCGTGCTCCCGCGGCGATGACATGAGAGCATTAAAACATCTGATCCCGCCCGTGTAACATACAAAACATCTCCAAGCTGAACGACCGTATCTTCTGGATACACACAACGTCTATCTTGCACTTTCATTCGTATTTCATAGTGGATGTTGAAGGCTCTTTCACACAACTTTCCAATGTTAAGCGGCTGTGACCAGTAACAACGCTGAATTTCCAACCCCGCAGTTGCAGGAAGCCGCACCTGAATGGCGTTTGCTGCATCGCTCTCACGACTAAAATCAATAATTTGACTATGATCTGGTGATAAGTCGATTGGTCGGAGGAGGGAACTCATGTTCTCAAATTTGATTCGGCTCTGACGGCATGTAATGATGCTATCGGTGCAATTCTGAAGAATCCAGCGGGGGTTGAATGTGACAACACGAGTAGCCTTCATGCGACCACCCACAAATTCCACCGTGTATGACAATGACAAGTTCACATTTTTATAAAAGCTACAGTTTACAATTCCGCACTCAAGCAATGCACCGATGGGAACTGGATCGGACCACTTGGTCCAGTGGATCCCACTACTAAACGCGTATCTTCCAATAGAGACATAAATGGCGGCCTTATCACCAAGTTTTTCCATGCGCTTCGTATTGAAAAGGTACGCAGGACCACCACGGGATATTCCGCTACCAACGGTGTCAAACGAACCCGGTGCGATGCCTTCCTCACTGCATAGACCTGCGGCGAGTGTGCCGTTCTTTACATCTGCAATTTGTAAGCAATGTGGGGTTCGGTTGATGATCCAGTACGGGCACCAGATGGTTACCACCCTCGGGGTACAATCAACGTGAAGAATGATGGAAGCGCCCCGCTGGTCATGCAGGGTGATGATGCGATCGCACTCCTTTTTGCTGACAGAGTGTACAAGCGCAGGAGACGGATTCGAATCTGGATGAATGGGCGCTGGACCCATCGGCTCCCCATTTGCCTGATTCGCAACAATGTCAATGTAAATGTCTTTTAACGGATTCATCTGCGTGATGCAAGAGCGCTCTCCCGACGCGACATCAATCGTCGTGACATGTTCGTAGGAATTGGATTTACCAAAGTGTAACGGGGAACGGTGCTGTTTTTCTGACTTCTTTCGGTACATCAAACAAATCCGCATCGGCAAACTTGTGCCATTGACAATAAAAAGGGGCGCCTGAAAGGTTCCCCTGCAATCAATCACGTCGGAATCACCAACACAACATTTCTCATCAAAGCAAAGAAAAAAGAAGACGGCCCGCCTCAAAGACGCGGAGGCCTGCATGGAGTTGAAATCCTCCGCGGTCTCGTTGCACTCGACTGTGCAGACACCCAGGAAGACCTGCCCGTAGAGAAAAGGCAGCATGTCGTAGCAAACTCCCAGAGAACAAGGGGTACTGCGGTGTTTTTCCATGTGTGGCATAAAAGAGGTACGATGCCGCAGAGAACCAAGAGGTAAATGCAGTACACCATCCGGTGAAATTAATCCCACCCCAGAAACATGCATGGTAAAGGGAAGTTCGTTTTTAAATGCAATATTTGTACGGAACTCAACCAACTTTTGTCCCTCCGAGACGGTGACATCCACCAGCAGATGACTACCCATTGGGCCGGGAGAATGAAAGACAAGACGTTTCCCTGTTTTCGCAACGTTCACCAGTTCCGTGTTATTCCGAAATGAAACCAGCAGACGGTGCTGCCAGGGGGGTAACTCATGACCCTCAACTCGGGGGAAGTTAAACTGTATGGTCTCGTTTGCATTCAGAATGGAGGGTGTGGGCGAGTGGTTGGGGCTGTCGTGGGCAAAACGAACCTCCACCTCGTGTCCAACGTGTTGTACCACCCGATACATGCAGAACTGCTGCTTCGACGTCCCAAGAGGTTTCCAAAAAACGTCCTGCTCAAACGAATGCTGTGCATCCCAAAGATGCTTTTTCAGCAACCAAATACGACGTAAATTTTCCATCACCCGCGCTGAAAGATGTAAACGCACGGGACGTAAATGAAGCCCCGCTCGCAGCAATCCTTTCCGCCGCTTAACATCTTCAAATGAGACATTCGGTTCGCTTCGCAGCACGACATCCAGAAGAACGGGTTCAAGCAGCGAACACCAAGAGCAGATACTGAAATTGTAGTAAGTGATGCTCCAGGTGAAGGAAACATGCAGCTTAAAGGCTAAACCTCTCTTTTCCACCATCGGGGTGGTGAGGCTCTCAACGCGGACACAAAATAGAGGGATGCTGACATCGCTGCTGTCATCCACTAAGTCCACACTAAGGTATCGCAGGTTAAATGACAAACTCGTATAAGTTTCCAAATCAGTCGTTGTGTTGCCCTGTTGACTGGTATACCAAGGTGTCTCCAGCGACGAGGTAATCTCACTGCCTACAACGTCATCCAGCCCATTTTTCTCGATATTTCCTAATGTCTTTTGCGTCCCTAATATGGCATCCCAACAAAGGTAGACGTCACCATAACATAGCCGCAGTTCAATGCCGTAAGGGCAGAGTACCTCGATATATCGCTTCAATACATTTTCCAACTGTGCATACGACCGCGTGTGGTGAACTGTGAGTGCCAGTTCAGAGACCAACGATCGGTTCTCCACCAGGCCTCCATTTGCGTCAAGATATTTACAGTATATGGAAAACTCACTCATGTCAAACGTACTGGATTCATTAATCAAATGACCATCAAACCGTAACATTTCCACGCGCGCAGACATCGTTGCTTGAAGAACCAATGAACGTGAAAAATGCGCCGTATTTGTTTTCTGTTGAAGAGGGAAATGTAATTCACGCGCTCCCTCCGGAAGTGTGAGAAAAAGAACGACGTTGGCCATAACTCGTCTAGAGACGTTATTTGTACCAAACCCTGATTTAAATGAAGCCGAGTTGTTATTCTTGCTGTTTTGATGACCAGACTTTTTGGTACCACGATGGACAGTTAAAGAGGTTTCCTTTTCTTCCCCATTTTCTATATCCGATACAATTGGCTCTAGGCCAGCCGTTGCAGCACTACAATCACCGCATGGTGAGGGTACTACGTTGATAATCGTATTACAAGTGGCGTCTACAATGACGTACGATCCATTCCCAACGGCCATGTAATATTCAAGAACTTTCCCGTAAAGATGAATGCGTGCGTTGATGATGCACAGTGTAAGACCATCGCCAAGTGACAATAGGGGCGATCTGGCGTCAATGAAGTGAATGTCATGCCCATTACCGTCAATGGTGATGTGATTGTGCCGCCCCTGAACCACCCTCACTTTGGTGCGTTGAGACAACACAAGTCGTTCCTGCAGTGTAAAATCACTGTCGATGTATCTTACTTCGTGCACATGATACTCCGGTAGCACAATTCTCCGATACGGTTCGTAAAGCGAGGAAAGCAACAAGTGCATGGTGCTCTTTTCAAAGAACCCAACAGCCTTTCCAAAGTTCACGTGGACTTCTTCCTCCTTGCCACGCGCGTCAAGGCAGAAGGAAAGACAGCGATACACTGACAAATTTTCCGCCGACTGCTCAACCCCCTCCACCTCTCTTTCCCTCTCTTTGCTTTGGTCCCGAGTCCGGCAAGAGATGGAAGGGGTCACTGGCCGCATTTCAAGCAGGTTGGGCCTGTCATCCGCGCCAAGGGTAATAAAAGCCAGTTTCACATGCATCCGCCTTGCCACGCCGGGGATGCCCCTCTGCCTCTCCACGACCACAGGGCGTTCATACATCGCAGACATCTCACCCATTTTGAGAAAGATGCCGAAGTTATTTCGTAGCAAACACAACGTGAAGGAGTCCCACTCCACACAGACTCGAAGGCCGAACTCACCTCCCGCTGCTGGCAGCGACAAATCACCGGATTCACATTCCGTGGGGTCTCCCATTGGGAGCTGCAGGCAAAACGCCGGGTCCTCGGTCTCTGCATGAAAGACGTCTAACAACTCCGCTTCGGTCACCACAAAATGCCGTACGAGGCTTTGTAGCATAAGTTCATAAAGCGATTGCTCCACCTCAACAACTACCGCATGGATAATGATCTTCACGTTCCACATCACATCCTTTTGTGAAATTCCAACGATATCGACCTCCATCGGTTTCATGACGTAGTTTAAATGTTCCTGCAAAGATACCACACCCACAGCACTTAGTGAAACACCAAAAGCACCACTGCCATTAGTATCCTTCTCCACGACGATGTCTCCTGGACTTAACACAACGCCACGGCCAAGATTCGGGTTACCTGCGACAACGCAGCCATGTTCCGCCACCACCATATAAGGCGCTTTGAGGGTAAAATAAACCGAAAAGGGTGAACTATCTCTGCCTTTGGACGACATCCCTTTCCTCCACATACGCCGTTCCTCTAAAAACGTCCACAACCAACGCAGTTGTTGATACCCACCCTTTTCAAACACTTCACACAGGGCATATATCTCTCGTTTCAGGGGAAGAACAATCCATACAGAGTCCATGGCTCCCGTCACATAATTCTCCGCTGTACGCGCCAGGTAAAACAAATTCTTTACCTTCCCTGTCTCACTGCCTTCTTCCGACCAGAACGGAGGCACAAACACCGGCCGCAGTTTGAATCCGCCCTCCGACGCGTCATTCTCCACTACCACACCGTTATTGACAATACTGTCAACAGAAATAGACCACATATAATTGACACCATGCACCTCTGAAGAGAGCACAAATTCAATAGACTTGATGGAAACAAAAAACAGCGACCTAACACGCTGGCATGGGCGCAGGAGATGTGGAACGGTCAAATTTAACCTAAAAAGAGTAAAATAATAATTGGTCGAATAGTCCTGGTCTTCTGGACTCGGCGGGCGTGGAAGAACATTTGCCACACGTGGCTCCCAACGCAGGATTCTGCCATACGCATTTCGAATATGAAGACTAAAAAGGGAATCCTTCAGATTAAATAAGAAATACGGTTCAGGGGTGATGTCGAGAGAACCGACCGAAATCCAGCTAGAGACTTTCTTCACTTCCCTTTCAACTGACACATTGTACCGCGCTTGAAGGGCCGTGTGTGCATTCATACGACTATTAGGACTCGTGGACCTCCTCTTTTCCTCTTCCTTCGTTGGTGGTGCGGCCGCTCCGACGGTTTCATGATGAAACCACAAAAACCGAAATGATTCATCCACAACTTCCTTTGGGTGACGGAAAAACGTTACACGGTTCTGCGCTAACGGCTCCAGTTGCCACACAGAAGCCTCCCCAACATAGTAGCGGGATGAGAATGCACCACCGGACCCCCACTGAAAACCCATCGTGAAGTGCTCCACCAAAACAGCGATATCGATAGCAGAACGTTCAAAGGTTTTGAAAGAGTCCCCCTCCTCCGCCTCTACGGAGCGATAGCGCCGAGGTGGGTCTCGGAGGCGAAGGCAAATGTACCGAATATCAATAGTCCACTCCGTCGACTCCTCACCGGTACCGTACGCCAAAATGAATGGGTCAACAGCCACTTTCTTGGGCGCAAAACGGCCTTTCCACGGCATCTCCAGGTAGTTTACAAAAAACCAGTCCAATACAAGAGAAAATTGAGGTGTGCTTCCCTGGAAAATAAAATCATCCGGCATTTCTATCCGGAAACGACGAGGACGCATTTCTCTCCAACCGCCTACACGAAAGAGTTCGTAAGAAAATTCACATAAAAACCGCGTACGGCTCAGCAAAGTCAGTATGTTCACGGCAGCGAGATCACTAATGGTTCTTTTCCGTCGTATGCCACGTACCTCAATTCCTTCAAGCGTCAGCGTTGAGATGTGTTGCACAAACCGCTTTGGGCTTGTTGAATTGCTTTCCCCATCAACACGAAGTTCATCACAAAAGCGACAGAAATCCGCCTTTCCCCATAACTTGGCTGGAAGATGGGCACTTTTTTCTGGAAGCAAAAAATGTACTTGCGACAATTCAAAACGTTTGTGCAAGAGACACCACGAAAAAGGCGCAAGCGGAGCATCGGGTTGAGGCCAACGCAGCAAAGAACTCCCCGCAATGTAAGGTTGTCTCCACACTAACGTTGCTGCCCTGGAGATGACACCACGTGAAAACACCTCAATGAGGCTCCACAACTGCGGCTGCCAGTAAACAATATTCAGGTGTTCTCCTGAAATAAAAAGAAAATGTGTATAACGGTACCCTGCAGAACCCCCATTCGCAATAAAATCTGATATCGACAACATTGGTGGCTCACGGTGGATAGAGAATGAAAGAGACAACATTGGTTTGCCGGTGAAAATACCTCCTTTTGTGTCCTCTTTGCACTGGTTTCCGGTGGGCGCCACCACGTGACCAAGTTCTCCGGTCGGAACACGTCGCATCAATATATAAGGACGATGTAACGTCACACAACTTTTATTACAACCCTCGGCATTGCTCCAGTGAATATTCACTTGAGAACCATTGATGACCGCTACGGGTTTGGCATTCACACCATCATCCACTGCGGCGTCTGTTTCATCTTCCAATTCAAACTTGTCGGATGGGTAGTAGAGTGACAGAACAAGGTGCTCCAGGTCGATGGAAACGTCATCATTTTGAAGAAGACCCCCCGCAGGATCCGTCCGCCACTTTTCTTCAACCGTCGCCGCAGGCTCATCTGACCAGGGGATAGACCGATATCTCACATGCCCAAATATTTGGTTCGTCACAATTCCCGAAAGGTCCCATAGCATTTCGGCAACACACAACAACTCACTTGAAAACGCCAACTTGACATCTGCTGAGGAAGCCATCTTTACGTACTTCCGAGCCGCATGGGGATATAATCGTTCCTTCATTTGAAACAGAAGAGTTAGCGCTGGACCCAAATCATCATCAGCCGCCGTCGAAGCAGAAGCAGGTGTTTTCGCTACGGATCGCGTAACCTCAAAAACTGTTGCATTTCTTGCGTGTGCCATAACAGATAACCTATTCGTAGCAAGAGAAATAACTTTCTTCTTTTGTTGCTGCACATATGATATATTCACCGAGGTCATGAATAATTTGTGCATCGGCGGTGTAGCGCCCTCCTTGTGCTTCTCAATTGCTTCATCACGAAGATAAAAACTACACTTTGGAATAGACATTTCCATCTTTAACAAACACAACTGCTGCTCCCCACCCTGTTGGTTTTCCTCTTCTACTGATGTTGGGTCAGGAGGGATGTCAAGGACATGGTGCCCCACCGCGTGGCTGTCAAGCGCATTGGCAAAGCGTTTCGCCTCTTCGATGCTCTGAAATCGCATGCGAATATGATGACATGGACGCGTTCGAGAGGCCCTCTGGACAGTTCGAAAAGCGTGTTTTACTTCTTCCCTTTCTTCATTTTCCTTCCCACTCCGTTTATGCTCTTGACACCAGTCTTCAATGAAGGCCTCAAGCAACGGCATACTCCAGAGAGATGGAAACTTATATTTTCCGAACAGCACCTCCTTCGCCTTCAATACGCCGCTCCTGCGTGTATGCGAAACACCCCCACACTCCACAAATAAACTCACCTCCGAGGCATCCTGAGCAACGTGCAAATGACCTCGATAAAGTTCAAAAAAGTGACTTGGAAAGGTGGGTCGCTTGACGTGATAGACAACAATTTTCCCCATCATCACCTCTATGCGACGGTAATTGTCTACCAGACTGGGTGCCTGCATTTTTTCGCGGTAAAATTTTTCCTCTTGCAATCGCGGAGAAGGCTCATGCTCGACAAGGTATCTTTCATCTACGGTAAGCACTTGGGCAAGGAACACCTTGCTGGGGGAAGTAGGCGACATGTCATGCATCGTATCAATGGCTGCCGGCTGAGAGAGTCTCTGAAAGATGTCTGTCATCATCAAAAAGGAGGTGCACAATACAGAGAGGCTCTGTCGTGAGCATCGAATTTGCAGTGGCTTCTCAAATACAATGGATGCGGACAAGAGCGGTACGGATGGGCTGCGGCGCATCATAACACTCTTTTTAAAAATTATTGTAAAACTCGGGAGGGACGTAATGCGATCCCACAAATTTTTTGAATCGTCCTCATCGAAGTCATAAAAACTTGCATCGACGCGTGTGGTATTCAAAAGACACTCTGCTGTTACCCCTCCAATCGTGGCGTGTACCGTGTTCACCCAATCGTCTGGGTCATCGCCAAAGGTGTCGGAGACTCCCGTGAGACATTGTATGCGCCGCCGTTTCTCAATTTTCTTTGCAGGGTCGTTTTTAACTTCCACTCGCCACAGTTTAATACGACTTACCTGCCGCTCATCTTCAGAGGCAACAATACGCACATCATGGAGTAGTAATTGCCAACTACACAGAAACTCCCGTTCCACCATCATCATCAGTAATGTGCGCCTTTTATTGGGGTCCATCGTCTCCTGTCGCCTCTCGCAGGGCGAGGGAACACCACGCGACGACGGTGTGGGTGATGAGGCGGATAGCGACACAAAAGGAAAAGGGGATAAAGGGCGAGCAAATTCAACGCAGGCCTGAAGGAAAGGCATATCTACATTGCAGTCTATAGGGCTCCACTTCAAACAAATTTCATATGGCGGTACGCCACTCACGGCGTCATACTCCGCCAAGCTGCCGGGGTGATGCCGCTTCAACAAAATCGAGGCTGCGGCTTCATGTTCACAGCCACAAATGACATACCGCTCCTTTGCTACACGAATAATACTCACCACACGCGATTGCTCCTTTAAGTGCGAAAGCACCATGTAATCATTAACGTCCAGGCTAAAAGAAAAGCAGCGATTAAACATGTACACCAAGTTAGCGGTGAGTCCTTCCATCGCCAACGTTGTAAAGGGTGCACATTCCCCATCACTCTCGCGTAACATTAACTCGAGTGCATGCGCACGGAGAGAAACTTGCCAACGAACCCCCTCAAAGTTTCCAGTTGATGCACTACCGCCAGCATCGGAAAGACTTTCCACCTCACTCTCGGGAATGCCAAACTCCTTGGCAATGGCGAGGCGTTGCGCAGCCGTCCAACGCTCCGCATTCACAAGCTGAGACATTTCTTCAATCTCTGCCTGAATATCGGGAGTTTCCTCGCCAAACGGATCACCAGCATTCTCTTCCTGGGTGTTCCGCGTTTTTGAAAAGAATAACCAACTCCACCAACTTGAACGGCGTTTCCCGTCTGTGTGGGCGACATCCATGGCGGCCTGCCCATTTGGCTCTTCCCCCATCTCTCCAGATTTCCCTTCGGCTTCCTCTTGTTGCTGATGTTTTTGTTGCCGTCGCCTTTCCAACAGGGCCTCCCTCTGTTCCCGCTCTAGATGCGTTCTATGGTAGGCGAGTCGACGTGCTATTTTGATTGATTCCATCGGCAGTTCCATCTCCAAATCTTGGAGTCGCGTTTTCTCTTCCATTGTAAGTTCCGTAAGCCAGTTGGCCTCCAGTTGTCTTCGCCTGGCGCGTTTGAACAGTGTCATGTACTCTTCTCTCGCCGCCTTGAGGCGCTTGTATTTCTCCCACACAAAAACGCGGCGTTCTCGAACCTGCCTTATACGATGCAAAGTTACCTGAATGGCGTATGCCCACCAGGCGCGCGCATTGTCGGTGGGCCTTTTCTTTTCGGCGCCCACGGGCCGAAAGTGATGCAGCACATCATACTCCTCTCCGTCACGTGCCTCGCGCCACAAGGCACGAAGTATTGCCCATTCTTCACGAGATAACACAGCACGCAGACGATCCACGCGCAGTTCAATGCGGGACGTCGGAAGGTCGGTGCGGTATGGCACCGGCTGGTACTGCACAAAGGCCATTGCACTAAAGGGAGAAATAATGCGATAGCACCGCGCTGGTAGACTCTGCCGTAACGTTGATGGTGTTGTTTTCCTTGACAGTCCTCTAATGACGCCTAATGATGCCTCTTCCGTCTCCTGTATGGTTTCGGCTGCATAATTCTCATCGCCGCATCCAGATCGTTGCATGGAAAAGGTGGTGGCGTTGAGAAGAACCCGCACCCCCTCCAGCACCACCTTCTTGTACAACACCCTCTCCTTTGCTGCGGTGAAGTGCGGAGCAAAGTTTTCATCACACGCATACGTTCGAAAATTATCCAATACAATAGAAAAAGAATGATAGTCTTGACCCACAAGTTGATCCGTCCCTGCGTCTACACTCCCTCCAGATGCATAACAGCCTTCATATTGTACAACGACATCCTTCAACATCAGTTGAACATTGTTCAGTATGACGGCCTTTAGACGTGCTGCAAAAGTGACATCCTTCTGTGCTTCTAAAAATGCCTCCTCCTCTTCCTCTAATACGCCTTCTGTGGGAGCCCCATTGTGGGCTACTGGAGTTGTCTCCACCTTCGTATCTCCTGCAAGTTCTTGTTGAAGCAGCGCCTCAAACAGGTTCAGTTGGTGCAGCTTGCGTTCATACGCTTCTTGTTTTTCACGTGCCGGATCATACCCGGCAGCCGTCTTTTGCCGCAGCAACACACGGACCTTTTTTACTTCCACCACTACGCACTCCGAGTGCAGGCGCGTCCATGGGACAATAACCGTCAATTCATCAATGTAACCTTCCTTTACACAAACCGCAGTATCAAATGCCCGCAGAGCGTCCCTACGGAAGCGCAGATTCCTCAAACTCACATGCCCACTCCACAATGAGACCTTCACTTGCTCTCTGTTCACGTTTTCAAAGTAATTCCCCAAGTATGTCGTGACGAGACCCGCCACAAATTTGTCAAACATGATGGATAAAGTAAAAACCCAAAACTCTCACTTCCCCTCGCTTTATATATATAATCACACAAACAAATAAACAAAAACACACGCAAAGGCCAACACACAAAAAATAAACTGTTTCTCCAAGAGTGTTTCGTTACCTCAGCGCACAGGTAATATTTGGTTAGCACTTTGGCTGGTAGGCAGCGACTGTTTCAAGCAAACAAGCACGATAGATGCAGCTATGTACAAACACACGTGTCAGCATACAAATATATATATATATATATATCTGTGCCTGCGGGTTTGCATGCACATAAAGATTTCAAATGTGTGTGTATGTGTGTGTGTGTGTAGGGATGTCCGTGGAACAGATGAAATGAAAATGAATACCGCCGCTTCACGTTTTCCTCTTGTGTCCAACTCCCTCGGACGAATATTACCAGCCGGAACAGTCCCGCTCTTCCCCCCTGTTTCTAAGTGTGTGCCTGCCTCCTTCACAGCGGTAACAATGCACCCTGCCTCACTCAGTGATTTGAGCGCGGCTGCTCTGTCAGCAATCGGAGAGAAGAAGTAGGGGGTAAAAAAAAAAAAAGGAAAAAAAAAAAACAAAAAAAAACTTCATTTGCCCACACACACACACAAAAACAACAACAACAACAAAAGCACACAAATCGTAGGCAAAGAAAACGCATAAATAGAGAGTGGGAAGAAGACGGGAAGTGCGAAAGAGAGCGAGTGTGTGCGTGTGATTTAAGATTTAAAACAAGACAAAAAAAGAAAAACGCCACAGTTGTGACATTCATATACAAACACAAAGTGAGAGAGAAAAAAAAAAAATAAATAAATAAATAAATAAAATCACGATCCAATATAAATAAAAGAAAAGAAGAAAAGAGAAAGAGGAACATCCTAATATAATAAATAAACAGGCAAAAACACAAACATACGACCGTATTTATATATAAATATATCCATACGTATATAAGATGGAAATTGTTCACGTGCATCCCTCCACCCACACAAGAAGAAGAAGAAAAAGAAAAAAACGCTGGCAAAAACAAACTCTTGTAATTTCATTTTATTCAGAAGGAGGATTCAAATGGTGCTGAAAAAACAATAAACCAATAAACGAGTTCCGCCGGCTTCACTTCCTTCAGTGTCTTTCCTCGTTTTCGTAACTTTTCCCCCTCAATTTCCCCTTGAGAAATTGACGGCTGGTCAATCCATACTGACCCGTTATGCATCATTCGCTCCAGCACAGCCTGAACGCGGTGCGGACGCCACATCAGACGGGCTTCAAGCTCACCTTGCGTAAACGCAACACATTCAACATGAAAAGGGACATCTGCCGTCCCAGTTTCGACGTCCTTCTCACTGTCCACTGAGTCATGATGCCGAGCGGGGGCAAATAGACCGCGGGAGGCACCCACACGGTTGGAAGGGCCAAACATGGGCGCCACATTTTCACAAGGACGTTCGTCCCCTACTCGAGTGGAGTGATACCGCAAAATCTGTTCTGCACGTTTCTTTAGCACAGTGTCTAACAGCGGCGCGTCATCCGCGCCTCGC